TTGATTGTTTGGGTTTGGGTTGGGATTGTGAGGTGGAGTGTGATTCATGGCTATGTAGTTTTCAAACAGAATATCTTCAAAGGAATGACCAACAATTGGAGAACTCGGTTCGGTGTCGGTATCACTTGAAGTATGAACTTGATCTTCTATGTTGATTAGTGGAGAAGATGAAGAAGCTTGAACGAGTTGTTGTTGCTTTGTTTGTTTGGCTAACTTTTTCAACCTTTTTGCTTCTTTTTCAATCTCCGGATTTTAGAGTAGTTCATCGGTTCTTGTAGACCTAGGGATAAAAATAAAATAAAAAAACCAATTTCCCCGGCAACGGCACCAGAACTTGGTGGGATGTCAAGTCCAACAAGCAAATTACACCATTTGTTTGCAAATAAAACGTAATATAATGGTAAAAAGGGGTATCGATCCTCGGGGAAATGGTTGTATTCAATCACCAATGCAATCCAATAGAACTAGTGTAAATAAACTAACTAACTACAATTAAACTAAAAGGGGGTGTTGTGATTGCTTGAAAACTAAAAGACTTGAATAACTAAAAAGCTTGCGATTAAGCAAGATGGTGAGATGCTCAAATATTGGAGAGAATTGGTTAACCAAGACAATTCAACACAATGAAAATTTGTGTGTTTATCATTAGGATTCAATATGAAGCTTATCATTCATCCCGAATTGGTTATAGCAATCATGAAGCATGTTATGCCAAGATTCCTCATAGGTAGTATAGAGGTTGGGGAAGCCCATAACATGTACACCTTCTTAATCAAAATCAAGGATTCAATTGAAGCAATTGAACTCAAGAAGCTGATTAGCCTTAAGAATGAAGGAATCCCCAATTCCTAGAGGATGTTAATGCTTACACATCCATAGAGGAGTCATGATTCATAAGCTAGAGATGATTTCTACCATCATAAAGCCCTTGTTCTAAGTAAATTCAATGATTCAATGTTAAACCAAAGAAATAAACCAACAATTGCTCATTCAAGTACCAAGCTCATGATCAAAGTATTAAACAAGCATAACAAATATGAACTAGAATCATAAACATAAGATAACTGACAATTAAGCATGAATCCTTCAAAAACCCACAAATATCCAAGGGTTTTTAGCCAAAATTAACCAAAATAGAGAAACTAGCCACTCATGGCAACAAAATAACAATCACAAAAGTGTTTTTGCATCAAGAATCTACCAATTACTTAGAAATATGAGAAGAATGAGTATCAAGCTCCAAAATCGCCTCTAATGGTCTCCAATGGTGGAAAATCGAAGTGTTTGCTGAAAGATCCAACCCCCAAGGTAAATGGTGAACAAAATGACCAAAATTCCCAAAAGTGTGCAGTTGTGCGGGTACCTGCGCAAGTGTTGCGCGACTGAGACTCCACCCTCGCAATTGTTGTTGGAATGCTATTGGTCCACTCTTCTCCACTACACCACTCCACTACCCAAGATTCCCTTGGTCCCCTCCATGCCTCACATGATTCAAATTTGGCCAATCATCTTCAAGCTTTAAATATGGATAGTCCAATCCCAAGATAAGAATCCATGACCCATCTTCAAAAGCCCACTTCATCTAAATCTTCAACTTTTAAAGCCCAAATCTCCTTTGATGGATTCGTAAAGCCCAATAATTCATCGAAAAGCCCACCAAGCCCAACTGGAGTCAAACCGCAACCGCAACGAGCTCCAAAACCCTGCAAAATATCTCATGTAAAATACAAAGTACCCGACACGATCCATGATAAATAAAATAAAGAATATACAATGCAATACTTAATAAAAAGAGCTAAAAATACTAAAATAACCTAATAAAAATAAAGAAATAAAATAAGCTATCAAACATCGTTTTCAGGGCTTCCCACGCTTCTTTGGCTGATCTCTTTTCAGACAACGACATTACAAACTCTTCAGGGATTCATTGGTAGATGGCCGCCAATGCCATATTGTCCTTCTTCACCTTTACCACCGCGTTGGTTGTTCGAGGCTCAATAGCTTCCTATACGCCGTGGGCTTGCATGAACACACACATTTTGATTGACCATGCACCGTAATTACTCTGGGATAACATTGGATAGTGGAGGGTGATTTGTCCGTCTTTTTCACCATTGCTTCCTGACATCTCTTCACGAGATTGATACTTGGGCATGCACCAGGTTGGGCTTTTATACCACTATGTTGGTTTTCAACAGGCTCTTCACGAGGTTTCTACGAAAACAAAATGGCAAAGGGGAATTTACATAGAGGATAATTTAGGCAAAGGTTTTTCGTGTATTATTCAACTTGAAAGAGAGAGATACAACGTACACTATGCCTGTGTATTTAAACTGAAAAATTACAGGAAAATAGGACCTACTAACTACTAGCTAGAGACCAGGTAATACATATTTACGTGGCCTTGATTTATTCTTCCTACTCAAAATAAATGTGCATAATAAAACAGTAAAAACTTCTGAATTACTTCAACAAAAGTATCAAAAAAAATTACCTTAATGTGCTCTTTACGTAAGCAGCTCAGCTTGCTTTCTGCTCTGAAATGAATTCATATTCTGATGAACTTGTTTCTACTTTATCGAATGCTAAGAAGTTCTTGCGAGTGAAGAAGGAAAGAAATTTTCCCGCGATATTTCCACGATGTCGGTTTATCACATTGGATCACTCACGGAAATGGATTAAATAGGTTTGTAATGGGTACGCTAAGAAGTTATGACATGGCTTGATAGACAACCAAAAGACTCAGGTCCAAGTTGGCTTTAGGTTTAGAACTAGTCAACAACCTTTCGTTATGGTTATGCGAACTCCGATTGACTCCGCTTTTTTACTTTCGGGTCGACTTAATTGATCCTAGAATGTGCTTGCCAAATGGGTTTGTTGAGAAGATAAATTAAGCAAATAGGACAGGTCGTGAGTTCATGGGCATCGTAGGAGACGGTTGTTTGAATAATCCAGAAAATTCAAATTTGTTAGTAGATAATAATAGTTAGTTAGCTTTTTCTTTTCTAGTATAAATAAGAGTTGTTTTTTATGTTTAGTGACAGTTTCTCAGTTGAATAAAATCCTAGCACAAAAAGTTCCCAAAATACGCTTCCATTGTGTTCTTTCATCGAGGGTGGAATTCTACAGCGGCGAGCATTAAACCCGGTGTTCCGATGATCGGTGGCTGCTATGAGGCGGAGGGCTAAAGGACTGAAGCAAATGCTATAGAACACCGATGGAATTTTTATAGAATATTTAATTACATAGGGACACAATTGTCATTTTGCTTTAAAATCCGTGAAAGAATCAATTACATCCGTGGAATTATCACATTCCATATGGAAAACGAATTTTTTTCATGTGTTATATGTTCAAGTTGATGTCTGCACCGACAAAATCGGCCAAAACTAAATTAAATCGGATTAATTGGACTGGGATTTTCAAACATTTGACATTAGCTTATATAACAGTTCAAATGTGTCTTTCTTTCTTTTCCCCATGGTGTACCATTTTCAATTTGAAATTGTTGGCCATATAAGCTAACTGTATTATAGTTCTCTTATATTAATAAACAACTTATATTTTAAAAAGATTAATCAATTAAAACAATTTAAGATACGATAAAAACAGTAATGAACAATTTGTAAGTTACATAAAACTCATGATACGAATATTAAAGCAAGAACATATGAGATGATAACAAAATCATATGAGATGATACAACGAGTTGAAACATACGACAAGATAACAAGTTGCAGCATAAAACAACTTAACAACATAACACACCGCAAGATAAAAGCATACCAAATAATAACCATGACATGTGATTATTAATGCCAAATGAAACAAATATTTTAAACATATTCGTCAAGATATTTTTCGATTGTGGTGATATTAACATCCGGGTAGAGTTCGCTAGCCTCCACACCAAATGAAGGTTCAATTATGAAACTGGTTGCACTTCCTTTCACAAAAGTCGAATATGATATAGACGACATGATGTTTTTGCCGGGAGAGTCTGCAAAATAAGAAAATTGATTTTTTTACAAAAAGAAACACCGTTATTGTATGTAAATGTTTAACCAGTGTAAATATATATATATGGAGTATGTTATTAGATATTCCTTCCATATTAAATTAGTATAATATTAGCCTTACTATTTATTATATTAAGAATCTTTGATCTCTTGTCTAATTATACCATGGACTTATCGTATTTTAGTGATACGATTGGGTAGCATAATTATATAAGAGTTTAAGAATTCTTAATCTAATGCCATTATTAATATATTAATTTAATATGAAAGGCTTATCTAATACAATTACAGTGTTACATATATCCTATCTAAGAAAAATGCATCTTTTGTTTGGACTGACCTTCAATTTCTTTGAGAGCTTGCTCATCGGTAACATATATCCTATCGAAGGTCTTGCCGATTTTGCTTTCCCATAGGGATACAACTTCATTAAATGACATTGTATTGCCCGGAGGTCTGAATATCAGGGCCTTATTTAGGGTACGTGGATCATCGACTGTTTTGATAGTAATCAATGCTATATCCTCTTCTTTGACGAAAACAACTAGATAAGAAAAATATTAGAGATTTTCCCAAATCTATCATCTTGTTGTACATTATGCATTAAAAGTTGTACCTTTCACATTTCCATTCCCAAGGATGGTGATTTCCTTTTCGGTCTTCATTAGGCCGATTTTGGGCAGAAAATATTTTGCAAAACCATTGCATACTACAAGAGTATGTGGGATATTTTTAGCTTCGATCTTCCTACGGATTTCCGCTTTTCCCTCAAAGATGCTCTTGGCTGGGTCGACCGGTCCATCCAAAATCCCATGGTCCACATCAATTCCGAATTCCGAAGGTAAAATCTCTAATAATAAATATAGTTCAAAAGTTAGTTTTATAGTGTGTAGGAAAAATATATTGAAAATGGCGTTTGTTTGATAAGTTTGATAATAACATGCACTCAAAATGAATTAATTTTACCAACTTTTTTTTATGTCATTAATAAAAAATAAATTCACAAAAAGTCGGAACTTATAGAATGGAAGTCCTGTCTAGCCACTCACTCTGTCAATATTCATTTGTTGGATCGCACTGTGTTTCTTTAGACTAACATTATTGGACCGATTTTTCTCGGGTTCCATCAGGCCCGATTTTTATGCATTTACAGTTGATAAATTAAAATAACATATATAATAATTGTAACAAAATAATTGGAATAGAAAATTATTTATAATTAATTAGTTTACCTAATTGATTACCAAACATTTTAAATTTCAGAATATCTATTAATAATGTTCAGTTTAAGAGACTTAAAAAATAGATTTAAATTTAAATGTAAAATAATAGGGGAAAAAAACATATCTTAGTTTTAGAGATTAAGAGAAAAAAATTATAAATTATAAAAAAGTAACAAGTGATAAATTTAACATGTTTTTTTATTACAAGTGAAAAATATGTTATATGATGTACATAAAATTGTGGAGTACGGGTAAAATCAAAATCTTTTTTATCCAAATTATTTACAAATAATCAGTAAATCAAACATGATTATAAAATTTTATATTATTTACCATATTAATCTAATTTAATTAAAAAATACCTTGACATTTCCAGCTTCTTTGATGGCTTCAATTAGTTTGCCTTGCGCAGCTGCGGATTTCCCACTTACTGTCGAGATCACAACATCAACTTTCTTCACTGCCTCCAACAACTTTTCATAATCATCTAGATCTCCCTGACACAGTTCATATATATATGCACTCAATAAAAACCACTATCATAATTAAACTCTGTAACATCATTATAAATACGTACATAAACCAGTTCTACACCGCGACTTTTGAAATCCTTTAGACAGTTGGTTTTTTCTTCATCGTTGGTTGCGCTTGGCCTTGTCAAAATAAAAGTTGGATGCCCTTCTTTGAGGCTTGCCTCTACTAAATACCTTCCGATGTATCCAGTCCCTCCGATGATCAAGATCTTGCTTGCCATTGATATAACCGTTTTGAGGATAAAGAGATGGGGGATTGATGTGAGAAAAGATTGGGGTATTGGTGTGAATATATATAGAGTTTTGAAATTCAAGACGTTGCAGGACGATATAGAACGAAAAGCCCACGTCTCGTATCATGCAAATAAGTAAATAAATAAAAATAATAAATTACATAAATTGTCCATGTGGTTATGCTCAATTTATGGATTTAGTCCAGATTTTTCAGTTTGAACTCGAAGAGTCCTTAAAATATTTTTTTGTCATGTTTTTTGTAATGATGTTAGATTTAGATAAATTCCTATTATACCCTTATTTTTCATGTATTATTATCATTATTTTTTTTTCTAAATACCCACAACTTAAATCTTCATCTCCGTCTTCCATATATGATATGTCATCCCTTTTGTTATGACCACCGATGGTGCGTTTAATTACACTGATTGTTGTTTACAGCCTCATACTGCTTCATCTTCTTCCCTATTTTTCTCTCTGGCCTTTCATTTAAAACCTCAAAGTACTTTCGATCCCATTAGATAAGTCCCTACAACATACTAAGATATGGTTCCCAAATCCATATATACATGTTAACCGAGAATTGATACTTTGATACCCTTTTTCAATTTCTCTTATGAGTTGGTTCTTCACATTAATTTTTTTCCCATGGGCCAAATTAAGTGCTCATCATTTACAAATGCTCGTGTGTTTTGTAACCGTATACATGAACCAGAGCAATTTTGAACCTCATGCTTTGTTCATTAGTCCGTTGTATGTTCTTCCTCTCTTGCATGCTTTTTACACTATTGGAAAATGGATATAATATGTCTATTGCTACTTATACATGGTGCAAGATTTATAATATACAAGCATTTAATGGAACCAGTATCCAGTTTTCGGGATTTATCAAAAAAAATTCAAAGAATCAAAATTATCATAAAAAAAATATGGACCAACGTAAAAATTCTAATGGATCAAAAATTTGAACGTTTATTCACACATCAAAGATATAAATACAATACTTTGCTTGGTCATCAAGAAAAGGAGGATGACAACTAAAACAATAAACACGAAATTCAAACTAAGATAGACTAGGAAACCGATAAGGACTCTTCAATTCTTTACTCCTCTGCAAGTTGGAGCATGTAAGTTCCGAATGCCCAACTTGCTTAACAAGAAATGAAGATGATGTGATCTCAATGCCTTTGTAAATAAGTCAGCAACTTGATGTGTGGTATGTATGTGCATAGGACAAACTTCTTTAGAATCAACTTGCTCACGAACAAAGTAGCAGTCCATTTCAACATGCTTGGTTCTTTCGTGAAACACTGGATTATTTGCAATATGTCCCACCACTTAATTATCACAAAACAATGGAGTAGGTAAAACTGGAGATACTTCCAACTCTTTCAACAGCCACCATAACCATATTGTTTCAATAACTGCAGTGACCATTGCTCGATATTCTGCTTCTACGGAAGAGCGTGAGACTACAAACTGCTTTTTGGTTTTCCAAGAGATTGGTGCACCTTCGAAAAGAAGTAAATACCCAGTATGTGATCGTCTAGTATAGGAGCAGCTAAGCCAATCTGCATCACAATAAGTGGCAAGATTCATCCTCCGTTCTTTGGAAGAAAAATGCCTTCACCTGGCGTGGACTTTAAGTAACGTAAAATTATGTTTGCTGTGTCTATGTGTGTTTGCCTTGGATCTGAAACAAACTGTCTCAAAATGCTTATTGAGTACGCTATGCTTGGCCTGGTGGCTTGTAAGTAAATAAGTCTTCCTATGAGTCGCATGTATTGACTAGCATCAACATGAAGACTATCCTACAAGGACAACAACCTTGCATCCCATTATCTTCAAGAATGCCCTAGGTGTGCTTTCGATGACTCAAAACTAGACCATTTGAGGTTCGTGCCACCTCAGTGCCTAGAAAGTACTTCAACAGGCCCATATCCTTGATGCTAAACATTTTTTCTAGATAAGTTTTTGTTGCTTTTAATTTTGGACATATCATTCCCTACAATCACAACATCATCCACGTAGATGGGAGCAGAAACGAAGCTTCTCTGTTGTTTATAAATGAAAAGAGAATGATCTGCATGTGATTGCTTGAAACCAATCTTAAGTAAGGTTGTAGTGAATTTTTTATACCAATTATGCGAAGCTTGTCGAAGACCATAAAGCGACTTCCGTACATTCTAGTCTCTCCTTCTTTACTGAAACCTTGAGGTATTTTCATGTATACCTCTTCATCTAGGTCCCCATGCAGAAATGCGTTGTTGAAGTCTAGTTGATGTATGAACCAATCCTTCTTCACCGCCACAACAAGTAAGGTTCTAACAGTGACAAGTTTTTCCACCATGACAAAAGTTTCATGGAAGCACACACCTTCCAATTGCGTGAAGCCTTTCGCCATGATCTGTGCTTTATATCTTTCAATCTCCCTATTGGGCTGGTACTTGATCTTGTAGACCCACTTTGAGTTTATTGCGTGTTTCCCTTTTGGCAGCTCCTCAAGAGACCACATTACATTTTCTTTAAGGGAATTTATTTCCCTTTGCATTGCTTCCCTCCATTTGATATCATGTACATCTTGGTTAAAGTGTTTTGGCTTACAGTTTGAACTAATAGCTGCTAAAAAGGCTTTGTGTGAATTAGTAAAATGCTTGTAAGAGATATGTAACACCCGGTTTCAGGTACGTATTTAAATTCAAGCAAAACTTTATATTTTACACTGGGACTCGGCGATTTGGAGGCCCAACTCGTCGAGTAGGTTCGACTTCGGATCCGGGGGGGATAAGTGACCTACTCGACGAGTCGGGAGACCGACTCGACGAGTAGGAGCTGTCTGAGTGAAACCCTAAATTTG